TATCTTGATGTTTTTATGTCCCTTCGGGGACATCTGATCTTGATGTTTTTATCTTTTCGATGAAAAACGTAACTTTGTATGACCGCCAAGTTGTTCGAGTAATATAACAACCGGTGGGGCCTAGTGCCCCCGTCATCGGAAAAAAACACATGGTACACGTGTCATCCGCGTTGTTATGTTCATGTCTAAACTCCTTTATTAAATAACGAAATATGTATGTGGCAACCATAATCGTTTTTGCAAAATTGCCACAGATATTTGATCGCACGGCTGCTGGCGATTCTGGTAACCGCTCAATCTGCGAACACCTATCCACCCATCGCACTGCCGCCCACGCCCGCCCACGTCTCTCCCTTCTCCTCTCGGTCCTCCTCCATCTCGACTCTCTTCTTCCCTGAAGGAAAGCGGTGACGACACCATGGTCGCACTTCTCCCGCAATCTTCCACCACCCAGCCACCACCTCGCCGCCGCCCAGGCTGTGTTCCTCCACTAGTTGTCGCAGCATCGCGATCTCCTCAATCCCAGCGGCGCGTGGGCGGACGCCAGATGGCGGCGTGAAGGAGCGGAGCAGGCCGAGCCACTCCTCGGTGACAAGGAAGGTGACTGCGGCGTCGCACGCGTCGAGAAGGCAGGGCGGTTTTCAGGCATCATGGCATTGACGTGGCCTCGCCCGGGGAACGGCACCGCCACAATGTGGCGGAAGCACAACTCATCCGCGCCAGCGGCGGCGGCCATCACGTGGGTGTGCCGTGTGTTGTGTTGCCTCTCCTTGCGCTATCGTTATCGCAATTAAGCAGAGCGCGCAGTGTTGTGACTCTGCCACTCTGGTGTTCCTGTCAGACACCAACGTGCGCGGCCGCTTAGGAATTTGTGGTGACATGTCAATATCTTCTTTTTATCTACGAGCAACACTGACAACCTCTGGGAGAGGAGGAGCAACGGCTCCTTTCCGCTCCTGCTGTTCCTGGAGCAGCTCGGATAGCCTCCTGCCATCGACCATCAAAGCAGGCAGAAACAAGAACAGAGAGCGGAGAGGTGTGTGCAAAGCTAGCTAGCTCCTGCAAGTATCAGGTTCAGCTCGGTCAGGTGTGCTCGTCCATGAGAGCTAGTATTCTAGTTCAGTTTTTTCTGCTCTATGTGAAGAGAGGAGAGAATAAACTGGGTCGAAGAATTATTTGGTGAAACAAACTGTATTCTGGCCTGAACTGAACAAATTGGTCACTAACAAGCTTGGTGTCTATCAAGAGCGCTGATGAAATTTCCATTTGCCCGGAGAAGATGGCTCCTATAATTCAATACTAGGTTTTCTGTGTATTCTTAGCCTGTAAAGTGAAATAACTATTAATTTCTTTAGGAAGCGACCGCAAGGCTCCTCATTTCTGCTTTGAAATGCACCTTGTATGGAACCGAAGTGACTAATGCTTGATGCTATCGTCACTGAAACTACTACTGCATTCCTTGTTTTATTTGGTTCCTTTTTCTTGCGCTTGACATATAATTTCACTGCTAAATAGCATTGGTGATATACGCGTCATAAACTGGATAACTTACATATAAATACGACGGTAACTTTGGGTTGGATAAAAAAAATATGTTACAAACATACCACTGATGGCTACTGTGTAAATAACACGGTAATATATGCATCACAGACCTGATAACTTAGATACAAACAATGCCGTATTTTGGACCTGAGAGAAAAAAATGTACTCATCGTAAATTCTGTGTAAGTAGCATGGTAATATATGCACCATAGACCTGATTACTTTGATGAAAGCACCATGGTAAGTTTGACCATGGGGAATAAAATTTTTGAAAAAAATTCCCCAATAATTTTTATGTAAATGGTATGATAATATAGCACCACATACCTGATAATTTATGTACAAACATCGTGATAACTTTGATCATGGGGAAAAATTGTTGAAAAGGAACTTCGGTTAGTTCTTAGCAAATAGAATGGTAATATAAGCACCACATACTTGATAACTTAGGTGAAAACATGATGGTAATCTGGAGCCGAAAGTATTTTTATTGAAATATACCTCTGATAATCTTTGTGTAAATAGCATATGAAGACACACACCATAGATCTGATAACTTACGTCTAAAACAGCTTGATAACTTTTTTACTCCTAAGGTAAAAGTTGTTCAAACTAGGCCCGGTAACTTTTGTTTAAATAGCATAATATTTTAAGCGCCGCAGACCTACAAGCACCATGCTGTTTTTTTTTACCCAGGAAAAAAGTTGTTCAAACATCACCGATATTTTTTATGTAAATAATATGATAATATAAGCATCGCATAACCGATAACTTACGTACAAACATCATGCTAACTTTTACCGAGAGGAAAATTGTTGAAAAATATACCCTCATCAACTTATGTGTAAATGGTATGGTAATATACACCTGCATACCTGATAACTTACGTGCAATCACCGTAGTAATATAGACCAAGGGGTGGGGGACTTGTTGAAAAACATACCCCTGATAAATTACGTGAAAATAACATGATAATATATGATCCGCATACATGATAAGTTACATACAAACACCGTGGTAACACTGATCAAGGGCGAAAAGTTGTTGAAAAACATAACTTCAGTAACTTAAATGTAAATAGGATGGTAACATACCAATCATAGACCTGATAACTTGGATACAAACACTTATGTAATATCGAGCAAGGGGAAAATAGTTGTCGAAAAACATACCCACAGCAACTTATATGAAAATACCAAGATAACTTACATACAACATGTGTGGTAACTTACTTAGTCAATATGTTGTGACTTTTGAGCCCAAAAAGTCATCAGAACATATCAACACGGGATCTAGTTTTAAAGATCACATCGTGACGAATCATTTATGTGAAAATAATTTTGCATCCAACCGACGGTTTGATCTACAAAATATTTTGAATTTTCAGAATATGGATATAGTCTAGGATGACATGAGCTTTTTGTCCTCTATTGCATACATGGATGTGGATGGGAGAACCATTTTTATGCCCCGATAACTTATGTGGAAATACCACGATAACTTGCATAGTACAGACGTGATAGCTTATGTGACCAAGGCGTGGTAACTTTTGATTCGAAAAAAGGTTGTTGGTATATACCAACAAGGCATAGTTTTGAAGATCTCGTCGCGACAAATCTTCTACGTGAAAATCATTTTCGCATTCGACCTACGGTTTAAGCTACATAATATTTTGAATTTTTAGAAAATCTAAGATGACATCAACTTTTTCTCCTTTAGTGCATACATGCATGTGGGTAGGAGAACCATTTTTATGCCCGGAACTTATGTGGAAATACCGATAACTTGCATACTTAGAAATCAAGTATTGTCAGAACATACCAACATGGGATCTAGTTTCGAAGATCTCATTGCAATGGATATTTTATGTGAAAATCGTTTTCGCATCCGACCGACGGTTTGAGCTACATAACATCTTGAATTTTCAGAATAGGGGGAATATAGGATGACATCAAATTCGTGTCCTCTAGTGAATACATGCATGTGGGTGGGAGAACTATTTTTATGACCCGGTAAATTATGTGAGAATACCATGATAATTGCATACTACATGGGTGGTAACTTATGTGACCTAGGCATGGTAACTTTTGACTCGAAAAAATTATCGAAACATACCAACATGGAATTTAGTTTCGAAGATCTCGTCGCGACGAACCTTTTATATGAAAACTGTTTTTCCATTCGACCAACGGGTTGAGCTACAAGACATTTTGAATTTTTGGATTAGGAAGAATCTAAAATGAGATTAGCTTTTTTGTTCCCTAATGCATGCATGTAATTAGAGGAAGAAATGCGTGGAAGGAGAGTGAGTCATACTAATGCAATGCATGCATGCACTTAATTAATTAGATGAAAGGAAGGAGTAGTGTGGTAGTTTTGTTTATGTGACACACGTGTGATAAGTGACACGCTTTTGCCCTTTTTCAAAAAAATAAAAATAAAGTTGCATTACATCATTTATCATCGTCGCCGTCATTCTCGATCAGAGTTTTAGCTCCGTAGGCGACGGCCGAAGATCTTTTCCCGGGCTCGCAGGCCTGAATAAATGTCACCGGAGATCCCCTCCCTACTGCGCACGTGCATGCCTACAGCTTGCGAATTGCCGCCCAATCACCAGGTTCAGTTTTAAATTTTTCAACTCACAACCCGGGCCAGTCGCTGCGCCTCCTCTCAACGTGAGAACGTCCCTGCTGCTCCCTGAGCGGCGACTACAGCTTGTATAAAATTAGCGAAAAACATTGACAATTTTCTTTCACACACCCACTCATCGTCACCGTCATCGATCCCCGGAGTTGAAGCCCGACGGTGACCGGCGGCCGGAGATCTTTTCCCGGCCCGAATAAATGTCGCCGTAATGTACAGACTACTTACCAGCTAGTGCACGCGCGCGTGCCTACGGAGAATCTAAACTAGCTTAATTAAGCTCCTACAACTGCACCTCGCCTCCGATGGCACGGCGCCCTACCCTGCTCTTGAGCCGTTTCAGCTCGACCACGACGACGCTGATGTTGTCCTTGCTGCCGCGGGTGATGGCGAGCTCGGCGAGCAGCGCGGCGGCGTCGGCGGCGCTGCGCCCGGACACGGACTCCGGGAACGCGGCGGCGGCGCGGCCGGTGAGGCAGCTCCGCGCCACCCGGCACGCCTCGTCGTTGGACACCACGTCCCACAGCCCGTCGCTGGCCAGCAGCAGGAACTCGTCCTTGCCCGTCCTCTCCACCGCCGTCACCTCCGGCTCCGCGCTCACGTACGGCTTCAGGTAGTAGTCCCCTGCAAGCAAGGAATCCATACCAGCGTGTCACTAGAGGTGAAGAGGACAGTCAAATGAAAACAGAGACAATGCATGGTGCTAGTGCTTGAGAATTGAGATGATGTATTGGAGTGGAAATGGAGGAGGTACCTATGGATCTGGAGGTGGATAGGACCCCTAGGACGCGGGACCCGTTCCAGTTGATCACCCTGCCGCCGGCCGCTTCCACTCTCTGCAGCTCGTCCGGTCGATCTGGCTGCCATGGCAGAGTAAACTCTCATTAGAACATGATAGTAAACACTCATTAGAACACGAGGGACACATGGCCGCTGCTATTATTCTCTGCATTGGGTAGCTAAACTAGTTTGCGTCCGAGGTAGGGGGTCCTAGTAAAGAGATTCCGTACGTGTGGACGTGTGGTGTACCTTGTGGTCAGTGGAGAGCGGCACGGCCACGCCACCGCGGGACAGCACGGCGCGCGAGTCGCCGCAGTTGGCCACCACGATGCGGCGCCGCCCCACCACGGCCACCACCGCGGTGGACCCCACGGTGCGGGAGCGCGACTCCTCGTCGCCGGCGTCGGCGCCCGCGCCCGCCACCACCTCGCCGTCCACCCTCGCGAAGCTGGCCTCCAGGGCCTCCTTCCAGCCGCGCGCGCCGGGGCGGCACCGCAGCCGCCCCACCTCCTCCGCCAGCACCACGTGCATCCGCTCCCTGCACGCCTCCGCCACCCGCGCCCCGCCGTGGCCGTCGTACACCGCGAAGAAGTCCTCCTCCCCGCGGCCGCCCTCGTCGCCTCCCACGCACGCGTCCGGCGAGGAGGAGGCCAGGAAGGTGCGCTCGACGGCCACGGCGTCCTCCATCTCGCGGCGCCGGCCGATCACGGACACGGCGCCGTGCGACAGGCACGCGGGCAGCCAGATCCCGCGGCCCACGTCCGCGGAGGACTCGGACTCGGACCCGTCCGCGGCCATCCTGGCCGGCTCGTCCTCGCCCGACGCCACCTTCCGCCCGTGCCGCCGGAGCTCGAGCCGGCGGCGACGGCGCGCGGCCGTCGCCCCGTCCGCTTCCCCGGCCGCCACGACGACCTTCCGCGACAGCCCCTCCTCACCGGCGCCCACCGCCTGCCTCATAGCAGCATGCCCCTCCACTGACCGGACCGGAGATGAGATGAGTAGCCTAGCCGGCCACGGAGGAGGGCTCGGCGGCTTTAATACGGGGAGAGGTGATGGGAGGTGAAAGCTCGGAGGCGCCGGTGGATGGGGAACGGACGGGCGGATGCGCGACAGCGCCGCGCGGGGGGGTACCGGGACGTGGACGGGGGAGATCGTCGGTGGCGCGTAGCGTGGAGCCCCGGATGCGCTGCTTCAAATACCGGGGACCGAGGGGGCACGCCCCTGCGCCCGGTCCATGAACCCGACTGCCATGGCACGATCTCTTTGGAGAGGCGGGCGTTGGTGGGGAGGGTGCAGGGCGGGTGGAGCGGGGAGTTTGGACCGTTCGGTAGGCGTGGGGCCCGGCGGGCGTGGGGTAGGGGGGTTACGTGGAGGGGGCGAGGGGACGGGTGGGGCCTGGCATGGCCTGCGGTGCCGTGCGATTTGACTGCTCCCGGGACAAATGTTAGGGCGCGCAAGCCCAACTCCAGCGCACGACCGTACCTCCGTTTTACCCGAATTCTGCCTCTTTGGATAGAAATGGATGCTAAGGTCAACTTAGAGGGTGTTTGTTTTCAGAAATTTAGGCCCTGTTTGGTTCATAAGTTTTAAGGCTTTTTTTAGTCTCAACTTATAAGTCCTAAGTCCCTAAAAAGTCCCTACATGTTTGGTTCCTGGGACTTATAAGTCCCTATAAGACCATATTACAACTATAAGTCCCTATAAGTCCCTCCTTGAGAGTCTTATTTCATAAGTCCCAAATGACCACTTTAAGTCCCTATAAGTCCCTCCTGTTTGGTTTAGATGGGACTTATGGGGACTTTTTTAAGTCCCTAAGCCAATAAGTCCCTGGAAACAAACACCCTCTTAATCAGTAGGGACTTCAAAAAGTTTCTATAAGTCCCATCTAAACCAAACAGGAGGGACTTATAGGGTCTTAAAGTGGACATTTGGGACTTATAAAATAAAATCTCAAGGAGGGACTTATAGGGACATATAGTTGTAATATGGTCTTATAGGGACTTATAAGTCCCAGGAATCAAACAGGTAAGGACTTTTTAGGAACTTGGGACTTATAAGTTGGGACTAAAAAAAGTCCTAAGACTTATGAACCAAACATGGCCTTAGTCTTGACCATCTCAGGCCCGGCCCTGTCGGCCCACCCAGGCCCGGCCCTAAAATCTAGGGCCTAGGCCCGATGGGCTTGCCCGTGTGCCGGGCTTGGGCCTGAGTTTTGAGCCCACCAGCAGGGCCTGAATGGGCTTGGGCTTGGCATATTGGCATTTTAAGGAAGAGGCCCGGCCCACGGCCCTAAGCCCTAAGGGTTTTTCAGGGCTTTTTACTAGATGGGCCGGGCTTGGGCTTGAAAAGTAGGCCCGATGGTAGGGTCTGGGAGGGCCTGGGCCTCAGTTTTTTACCGTGGGCTTTTTTAGGTCCGGCCCGATACATGGCCAGATATAGGTCAACTCCACCGCGCGACCTCAAACGGACGTCCGGTTTGACCGGATTTTGTCCTTTTGGAGCGGCAGTGAGTTCACCCATGTCCGTGTCTGTCCGATGGGTCATGGGTGCGTCCAACGGGCGATCGCACCCCAAATCTTGTCTGTGTTGGACGTGTTTCAAAAAAATAAAAACATAAATAAAATGACATAAAAAAGTAAATAAACGCAGTTTAAAAAACTTAAAACTTAACTTAGGGTCCATGGCCACAAAACGGCCCAGTTTCACGTCCAACTTGACATAATTAAACATCAAAAAGAAAATAAAAAACGGTTGCCGCCGCCAGTGCGCTCCTACCCGTGCCTGTCGTTGACGTCGCCGTCACCGTCTTCAGTGGCCGTCGGTGTCGTCGTCGTCGCTGACGAGATCGAAATAGGCCGCCGGCGTCCAGAGGTGGGCCGGCGGCGCGTGGTACACAGTGGCGGCCTGTAAGGCCGGAGGTGCCCGCACCACCTCCTCCCGTGGCGAGGCCTCCCGCTCCGGTGACCGCGGCGGCGTGGGGCACCAATTCATGGCCCCTATGGCGTCGGCCATCTCCGGCGCGGTGCACGACCAGCTCCATTGCTGGCCCACCAGGCGGGGGTGGAACGCGCCCACCGGCTCCTCCTCCATCGCCTCCTTCCTCCTCTCCTCCTACTTGACGGCCGCCATCTGCAGCTCCGGGAAGGCGACGTCGCCGGTGGCAGACAGTGCCATGGCCTCCTCCAAGCCGTTCCATTGGCGTTCGTCGTGCGTGCCTCCTCCTCCGCTGTCATGCGAGGAGGTGGAGGTGGTGACGGAGACGGGGAAGGCGACGACATGGGCGTGAGGCCATGCACCCGCGTGCGCCCGCGCACCTCCCGACGTGGCCGCCGCGGCCCCGACACCGTGCCAGCGAAGTAGGACGCGCGGCGCGTGTCATGCTCGTCCTGGAGCCAGGTGTCCCAGAGCTCGGAGTCGGGGGCATACCTGTGTTCGTAGTACAGGTCGTCGGGGAGGAGGCGGCGGCGGCGGCACGCGATCTAATCGCGTCGGGCACGGCCGCTCGCCGACACCGACGGGATGGGGACCCGGTCCGCGGAGAGGTGCCATCCGTTGGGGAGGTGGACGTCGCTCCACGGGACCGGCGTCCTCGTCTCCCAGTACCGCTGGCACACGTCCGCGCAGAGGTACTGCCGGGCGCGCTCGCCGACGGGCCTAGGGGCGATGGTGAAGGGGGCCAGTGCGGGGGCTCGACGGGAGGAGCGCGGCGATGACATGGGCTCCTCCTTCTTCACGGAGCCGCGGCGGCGGCCCTAGGAGGAGCCGGCCTCGCGGTCGTGCTTCCCCTTGAGGCCGTAGTTCCAAAGGCCCATGGCTGCGGTCGGTTGGCGAGGGGAGCGGTTTGGTTTCAAGAGTTTCGAGGGTGTCGGGTTTCGAGGGGGCAGAAAGGGGCCGGAGTGGGAAGTGTGGACGATGACCGGTTCACGGCTTCCCATTTAAGAAGGACGGCGATCTCCGCTGTGTGGATGACAGGTGGGGCCACCCGCCCGTGCGCATTTATGTTGGCGGGTGGGAGGTAGGTGGCCGCCTGCCACGCGGCCCCGACGCGGACGTTCGTAGCGTCCATTCGCTGTCCACCGCGACCCAAACCCGACGCAAGTTTGCGCTCGAAATGGGTCGGCCCAGACACAAAACAGACCAGATGGGTCCGGGCCGTCGCGAGCTGCGCCTCCTCGTTTGTCCATTTTACCCCAAACGGACGGGGCCGGACAGGATGGGATCGCGCGGTGGAGTTGGCCTAAAATAGACATGCCCGTCCGACCTTTGTTGGAGACGCCCAACGCGACCACCACCCCAAAACGTCTGCATTTGCACCTGTCCCGTCCGCAGGAGCACGCGCCGCGCCATGCCCGCGCCAGCTCGCCGTGGCCGCCACGCCTGCTCCTCGCCCGCACCCGCTCGCCCGCCGTGGCAGTCCTGCAGCAGCCCGCGCGCGCCTGGTCGCCGCGCGAGCCCACTCGCACCCGCCCCGCCCG